GGGGGGGGGGGGGGGGTACAGCACTCAAGGGTGAGGGAGGGAGTGGGTCACCTGGAGGTTCATGTCCTGTCTGCCACATACTTCCCCCAGCCAAAGCCCATCCTTGTTCTTTGGGTGCAGCGGGCACCATTGTGCTCTGTCCCATGTGTGTGTCTGTGGCCTCCCCCTCTGCTGGCGCCACGAGCCTGGGCTTGTGCCGGGTCAGTGTTAACTGTTCAACAATAGCAGCTGTCTTGTTCCAGTTCAATAAAGGAGTCGTGCGCAATAACAAGGTGTCCATGCTTTCTTGGGCCACGTGCTCCCAGCTGTGTGGGGCTCCCTCCCTCACCCAGCAACTCCCTTGGGCTCTGGTCACGCATGTGCAGGGCTGGGCAGGGATGTGGGGGTGCAGAAGGCACTCGGGGCTCAGGGGAGCAAAGCACAGCTCTGCAATCCCTGCCGGAGGGGTGACGCCCTGCTGCTCCGTGGTTTCAAGGCTCAGGGTGTGGCATGCCCCTGTCCCGAGGCGGGCGGGGCACGTGTGGCCGCAGGAGATGTGCCCCGGATTGGGGCACAGCTGCAGCCTGTAGCCGTTATCAGAAAAGCTCTGCTCCCTTAGAAAGCCAACCTGGTGAGCCGAACATCTGGAGCCAGTGCTGCCCGGCTGCACAGCGGGGCTCTGCCGTTCCGCACAGCTGCCTGGTTGTTCCCCTTTCCCCAGCAGCGGGCTGGGAACACATGCTGCTTCCGCCCTGCTGCAGTGCTGGGGTAACATCCCCATCCCCTCGACAGCTCTGCCATGGGAGCCAGAGCCACGCACTGCAGGCTGCCCTGGCCACCCCTCCAAGCCGTAACCGAGATGAGCACAGAGCTCTCCAAAAATATTTATTATCCAGAAATAGAAAATCCATCCTGCAACTGAGGGCCTGTCTGGCTGTTCCAGCTTCTTGCATGCATGGAGGAGGCTGCAGCTGCCCCAGGGCTGCTCTGGCCCCACAGGCCCCACCCCAGCAGGATTGTGGCAGCCCCCCGGGGGGCCACTAGGTCTGCAGGAACTGGGGCTGCACACGGGCCACCTTACGGAAGTCCTTGGTGTGCGTCCGTGGGCACTGCATCTCGCACCAGCTGATGGGCACCATCTGCACCCCTAAGGGACACCAGGCATCAGGGGTTCCCCTTCCTGAAATTGCGTCCCTCCACATGGGAGGTGAGGAGGCCGCAGCAGCTGCCTCTCAGGCGGGAATGAGGCAAAACTGTCTGAACTGGGGACACCATCCCTACCTGCTTCACTTCGTGCCACCACCACACCCAGCTCATTCTCCGCCGTGCTCAGCAGGTAGTTGGACTGTGCATCCCCCAGGGAGATCTGGTTAGACAGGGTTAAGGGAAATGCCTCCCCCAGGGGACTCGAGCAAACCTGCTGTCCCTGACAGGCCTTCCCTGTGGGCACGAGGGGAAAGGATACAACTTTGGCCAGGACTATATCACCAGGGCGGAAACTCTTGTACACTTCTACCTGCATGGAAGAGAGCAGGCAAAACCAGCATGTCGGGGTGCTCGTCAGAGGTGGGACAAGTGCCCCCCCCCCAGCAGAAAGCAGGGGTGGCTGCGGAGGCAGTCACTGGCAGCGCCTCACTGACCTTATCTTTCTCTGTGGCTCGAATATCTTCTCTCCTGAAAAAGGAGACGGAGGGATCTGAGTGCCAGCAAATGAAGGCAACTCTCCAGCCTGTGGCCGGAGCTGCCCCGGTCTCCCTGGGTGCTCGCCAGGACTTGCTGGACACCTGCCCGGTGCTTGGGGCAGAGCTCCTGCCAGGGCAGCCAGCTGTGCCGCCCAGAAAAGCTTTCCTCCCCCCTCGAGGATGGGGCTCTTGGGCAACCCATCTTGTGGGGAATGCAGCCCTCTCCCTACCGTATCGTCCCCCGGAAGGTGGATTTCAGTGGTGTGGAGCCGACGTACAGGATGTGCACCTTGGCAAAGCGAGAGTTAATGCTGCAAACCTGCCCGGAGAAAAAGGGGAATCAGTGCCAGCTGCCAGCGCAGGCCTGCTGTCACCTCAGTGCACCCTGCTCCAGACAGGGAAAGGGCAGGGTGCAGGCAGGACAGCAGGGGGCTTGTGTCTCACTCGGCCTCCTTCTTGTGACCAAAGTAGTGGTGGCAGAGGTGGGACACCCAGCAGTAAGCCAGGCGAGGAAGATGATACTTGTGCAACTCAAGACACACAAATAAGACTGAGACCTGCTGTGATCCCAGTCCCTCTCCCACTGTCAGGGTCTAAACTAATCCCCATGCTTTCTCCAAGCTGCCCCAGGCTCTGCTCTCCACACACCCTGCCCCAGCAAGAATTCTGAAAGGGAAAGCAGAGAAAAACCTCCCCTCAGCCCACCTCAGCATCGAGGCAGGCAAAGTCGAAAGGCAGGTGTCCCCTGTGCTGATATCTGTCTTCTTTGTGAGTGAGGGACCCAAGGGAGCTGCCTCTGCCTGGCTGGGAGTTGTACAGAGGGTACTAACAAGCCCAGGGGCTTCTCAACCAACCCCATGCATGTGCAGGAACAAACCTCAGCATGAGGCAGAGAGCAAAGTCCACGCTGTTTGTCATCTCAGTGCACTCCAGTGCCCTACCTTGCATGTCACCACGGCCCCCACATCGGGCAGGAGCTGGCTCTCGGCATCTCTCACCACTGATACAACAGGCAGCTGCAGGGCAGCAGATGCGAGGGTTAGTTTGGTACATGGCCAGTGCACAGGATCACACAGGACCAGGCTCGCAGGCACAGGCTGAACCCTGTCGGAGACCAATTCCCCAGTTGGGAAGGGTCTGCGCAGCCTTGGCACCTGGCTGTAGGGATGGGCAGCGCGTGCTGCAGCCATGCTCACCCCGTTGTCCTCGCTCCTCTTCTCCAGGCAGCCAGCCAGTGAGGAGAAGATGAAGCCGTGCCGGGTGTAGGTCCCGCCGCCAGCCGTGGCCTCGTCCACACTGCACAGCCGCTCGCCTACGAGGCGGTAGGTCAGCGGCTTACGCTGCCATGGTCCAGCTCACGGGGGTCCCAGGCTCCGCACCGCCTTGGCCTGCACCCCGGGCACAGTGCCCGCTCCTGGCCGACCCTGCGCGGCGGGGCAGCCCCCCCCAACCCCACTCGCCACCCCCATCCAGTCCTTTCCTGCACACACAGGAAAGGAAACCTGCCCCCCTCCACACAGCCCCCCTCCACACAGCCCCCCTCCACACAGCCCCCCTCC